AAAAGTAAATATATAAGGTATCTATGCGAACAAAATGAAAAATTTGAGTACAAAATAATTTACAAGTAATTCAAATAATTTGAGCGAATAAACAAATAAAACAAATAAAACAAATAAAACAAATAAAGCGAATAATAATAAAACAAAATTCAATTAATATTAATGCGTCATTAGATATCGATCGTTTTACGTGATTGTGACAAATCATTCAAACCAATCCACAAATTGGGCCTTTTTCATATATTATACGCCTCCACTACTGTTTAATTAATTTAATATTTAAATGCATCTATAAATCTCCAAATTCTAAGAGTATATTTGTTGTCACCTTCAAGAAAAAAAAAAAGAAAAAGAATTTAATATCATTGATGTAAAAAAATTATAAACTCGCTTGATTATTTTGTCAGAGTACGTACATAACATTCATTATTTGATGATGGTATATATTAATTAGAATCAATAAATTAAAATTTTGGTGTTTTTGTTTCATCTATGGGGAATTTGTGTTTCACATCAAAAACAAGATCAATTTCCAAAAAAAACACTTAATGGTACTTTTCTGCTTTTGGTTTATATTATTAATAACTAAATAATTGCACAAATATATTTTTTTGTAACTCCTTTATTTCTCTTATATAGATAATCATTATTTTTGCAAATTTGCAAATTTAAAATCCAAAAAAATGTCAAACAATAATGATAATGATGAATTTGAAAGAGTCTTTGTTTATGACGAACATAAATGGTATAATCGACTTAAAGGGAAAACTTACTATAGAGTATTTGGAAATTGGGAATGTAATGATTGTGGAAATTTATGGCCTTCTGCATATACGTGGATTTCTTTCAAGAAGTTTTTAGAAGGTGTTGATGCTAACCTATTGGTGAATTCAAAATTGCGAATGTATCAAAGATGTTCAGGGTGTCTAAGTGATCATAGTGCGAGGCTTTTAAACTATTATCAATTAGGAGAGAGAGGTTCTGGACCACGAGGAATGCGTGGAATTTCTGGAGGTCATAGAAGAGATTTATGTGAGAAGTGCTGCACAACCCAGGAATATTGTGTATAATTTAATATATATATTTGTTCATTCATTAAAAATACTGTTTTTTAAACTTTTGGTTTTAGTTTATAAGTTATTTATAATTTTTATTGAACTGTGAAAATTAATGTTTTAATTTTTTATGACAATGGCTAATTATTTATTTTTGTATCAAACTACACATTCATTCTTCAACAGTCGCTTAATAATTTAGGATGTTGAATGAAATAAATTATATATATATATATATATATGATGAATCTATTCTCCGAAAGAGAAAGCATCATTGGTAAAAACAGGATTGTTCTACTTAGCATAAGTTGTAATCTATAATTTGTCAAACCAAATTACTAAACGGTATCCTATTTTTAATTGAGCGGTTAAAGCCGTCTTGAAGCGTGTCTGTTTGTTTTTACAATACAGTCGCGCTTTCTGCATGCTATGATATAGCGAGCTGACGTTCACGTCATTTTTAATTTAGGAATTATTACAATTAAAGATTGGTAATTTCATTTTGTGGATGTGTCGCAGAACCAGCCAAATGGGAATTGGTAAAATTCAACATATTAAAAAACTATTTTTTCCATTTTTAAACTAGATTAATATATTAACTTCACCATTTGCATGATTTATATAATACTTTGAACTAAAGAGTATGTATCATATTACCATTATTAATTGAACCATTTAATTGTTGTCAAATTTACCAAATTGGTTTATATAATTAATTATTAGTGTTGAATCAAATAT